TGAGAGAACCAATAGAATGATGAACATTCAGTGTGTATAAATACTTCTATTAACTTGGAATGTGTTTTATTTCAGTGTATTGAAATAGGTTCATTTGAGAGTAGAAATTTTTCCTTTTAATATTTTTAGCTTATTTCAGAATAGATTTAAATTTACAATAAAAAATTGTGTTGTGGTACAAAAGCTTCCCATATACCACATAGTAGGACCCCTACTATTAATGTATTGATATGATACATTTGTCGGAATCTAGAAATGACAACCAGTTTCCCCTGTTACTAACCTCTTATGTTAGTATATCTGTCAAAATTAATAAACCATGCCTACCTTATCCACTTTTTAATCCAAACTATTTTTTTCTAAAGATTTATTTATTTGAAAGTCAGAGTTACACCTAGAGAGAAGGAGAGGCAGAGAGAGAGAAGTTGTCCATCTGCTGGTTACTCCCCAACTGGCCGCAATGGCTGGAGCTGTGCTGATCTGAAGCCAGGAGCCTCTTCTGGGTCTCCTACAGGGGTGCAGGGGCCCAAGGACTTGAGCCATCTTCTACTGCTTTCTCAGGCCACAGCAGAGAGCTGGATTGGAAGTGGAACAGCCAGGACACGAACCAGCTCCCATATGGGATTCTGGCACTGCAGGCGATGGCTTTACCCACTTCGCCACAGTGCCAGGCCCCAAACTCTCTTTTTTGATACATCTTTCTATTAATTACATCTAAACAACATATTCAGTGTATTAGGTTTTATATGAATACTCAATTTCTAAGTTCTACCATTTTGATGACATTCTGCAGGCAGATAAAAGACAGTACTCTGAATTTTTGTGATTGATAGCATTTTTATATAACTCTCATACTTGTCTCCAAAACTAGAGCTATCAGGTTCATGAATATCCTTTTATAAAGGAGTGTTATGTATCATGTAATCACAGTTACATAGATTAGATATATATGTCATGATTTTAGCATTAATGATATAGTTTTGGTTCCTTTATTCCCTTTATTGTATTCTTCATTAATATTGTACATAGATAGTTTGCACTGTGAGAGAAATGTGATCATTTCTTGAGCACCAAACAAGTGATTTGTGCTCTTTTAGATAATTTCCAAATCATTTCGAGAAATCCACAGAACATTCCTTTTTGTCCTTCAGTACAATTAATTAGACCCTGGGGCTGCCATTGTGGTGTAGAAGGGTAAGCCCAGGCCTGAAGTGTGGACATCCCTTATGGGCAGCGATTTGAGTCCTGGCTGTTCCACTTCTAGTCCTCTCTGCTAGTATGCCTGGGGAATCAGCAGAAGATGGCCTAAGTACTTTCACCTGTGTGGGAGACCTGAAGAAACTCCTGACTTTGAATTGGCCTAGCCTGGCTGTTGTGGCCATCTGGGGAGTGAACCAGCTGATGGAAGATCTCTTTCTACTTCTCTCTCTCTCTGTATCTCTGGCTTTCAAATAAATAAATCTTAAAAAAAGTTAATAGACCCAAGGAAGATCAGATAATTACCCAAGATTACAAAACTAGTGAGTATTTAAGCTGTTATTTGAATCCATTCTACTTCATTTCAAAATGCAGTCTTTTTCACTAGCATGTTGTAGCAATATTATTCGTACTCACCTCTTTCTAGTAATTGGTACTTAAGGATAGTAATTGAATGTGTGGAGATCTGAACTCATTAGATAAAAGATTATTTCCCAATATCCTTTTTATTATTACTCTCAGCTTAGTTTGCTTTCTGCCTGTCTAAATTGTTAAAAGAAGGGGGCTTTGAAATACCATAGACATTATTTGAAATTCTAACTTCTTTTTATTTTGTCTTGAAAAATTAACCTCCCTGAGCCTCTGAAACTTAAAAGTTTAAATAAATGACCATAACCATCTAATTTTAATACTGAAGTTTACTAATACAGATAATGAATTTAAACCAGTGCCTGCAGACAGTCAAAGCCAAAATCAACTATTGGGATTGCATCAAATTGAGAAGTTTCTGTACTGCAAAAGAAACAGTCAGGAGAGTGAAGAGACAACCAACAGAATGGGAAAAAATATTTGCAAACTATGCAACAGATAAAGGGTTGATAACCAGAATCTACAAAGAGATCAAGAAACTCCACAAAAACAAAACCAACAACCCAATTAAGAGATGGGCCAAGGACTTCAATAGACATTTTTCAAAAGAGGAAATCCAAATGGCCAACAGGCACATGAAAAAATGTTCAAGGTCACTAGCAATCAGGGAAATGCAAATCAAAAGCACAATGAGGTTTCACCTCACCCCGGTTAGAATGGCTCACATACAGAAATCTACCAACAACAGATGCTGGTGAGGATGTGGGGAAAAAGGGACACTAACTCACTGTTGGTGGGAATGCAAACTGGTCAAGCCACTATGGAAATCAGTCTGGAGATTCCTCAGAAACCTGAATATAACCCTACCGTTCGACCCAGCCATCCCACTCCTTGGAATTTACCCAAAGGAGTTTAAATTGAGAAAGAAAAAAGCGGTCTGCACCCTAATGTTTATTGCAGCACAATTCACAATAGCCAAGACCTGGAACCAACCTAAATGCCCATCAATGGTAGACTGGATAAAGAAATTATGGGATATGTATTCTTTAGAATACTATACCGCAGTAAGAAACAACAAAATCCAGTCATTTGCAACAAAATGGAGGAATCTGGAACACATCATGCTGAGTGAAGTAAGCCAGTCCCAAAGGGACAAATACCATATGTTCTCCCTGATCGGTGACAACTGACTGAACACCAAAAAGGAAACCTCCTGAAGTGAAATGCACATTATGAGAAATGGTGACTTGATCAGCATAGCCCTGACTGTTAATGAACAACTTAATACATTATCCCTCTTAGTAGTTTTTTTGTCTGTTCTACTTAATATGACTGGTTTAATTCTGTAATTATCACACAGTTATTCTTAAGTGTTAAAAATTAACTGAAATGTGATCCCTGTTAAACATAAAAGTGGGAATAAGAGAGGGAAGAGATGTATAATTTGGGGCATGCTCGGGCTGACTTGCCCCAATTGGTAGAGTTGGAAACATACCAGGGGATTCCAATTCAATCCCATCAAGGTGGCATGTGCCAATGCCATCTCACTATTCCAAGTGATCAATTTCAGTTCACAATTGATCATAATGAAAGGACTAAGAGTCAAAGGGAGCACATAAACAAGTCTAGTATCTGCTAACACTAACCGATAGAATAAATAAAGGGGAGAGTGATCCAACATGGGAAGTGAGATACTCAGCAGACTCATAGAATGGCGGATGTCCTAAATAGCACTCTGGCCTCAGAATCAGCCCTAAAGGCACTCGGATCTGGCTGAAAAGCCCATGAGAGTATTTCAGGCATGGAAAGCCAAGACACTCTGGCAAAAAGATCTCTGTGAGTGAGATCCCAGTGGAAAGAACAGGTCTTCAAAGAGGGAGGTGCCTTTCTCTGAAGGGAGGAGAGAACCTCCACTTTGACTATGACCTTGTCTAAACAAGATAAGAGTCGGAGAACTCAAGGGCTTCCATAGCCTTGGAAACTCATGACTGGAGCATAGGGAGATTATTGATGCCATAGACAGGAGTGTCAATTTGTAAAGTCAACCACAGGAGTCACTGTGCACTTACTCCTCATGTAGGATCTCTGTCCTTAATGTGCTGTACACTGAGGCTTAATGCTATAACGAGTACTCAAACAGTATATTTCACTTTGTGTTTCTATGGGGGTGCAAACGATTGAAATCTTTACTTAATGTACACTAAACTGATCTTCTGTAAAAAAAAAAAAAAAAAAAAAAGAAATTATCAATTCCCAACTTGACTCTCACTGGGATTAAACATGACAATAGGTCTGATCTGATTTCATCATCATTTAAAAAAAAATCATCTATTATTTTTCACTTTATGTTTCTGTGTGGGAACAAACTGTTGAAATCCTTACTTAAGGTATACTAAGCTGATCTTCTGTATATTAAGATAATCGAAAATGAATCTTGATGTGAATGGAAGGGGAGAGGGAGTGGGAAAGGGGAGGGTTGTGGGTGGGAGGGACGGTATGGGGGGGAAAGCCATTGTAACCCATGAGTCGTACTTTGGAAATTTATATCCATTAAATAAAAGATAAAAAAAAAAATAAATAAACCAGTGCCTGGCAAATAAGATGTCAGTTACAGTTTGTGATGATATACCAAGACTATATATATATATATATATATATAAAAAATATATATATATAATCCTTGAGGATTTCATGAATAGTTATTCATGAAACATAATCTTCATATAAGGTAGTGTCTTTGCTGTCTTCTTAAAATCCTTGTAAATATGAACTGTAGTGAAAAGTTATACTTTTCTAACCAAAAAATAAATCTTACTTCATTGAAAATTGTTGTCATTTGTTATTTTGTAAAGATAATGAATCCTATTGGAAAATAAACTTTTTTTTAGGATTTATTTATTGTTAATGTGAAGAGTGACAGAAAAAGAGACTGAAACACACAGATCTTTTATTTGCTGGTATAGTCCCAAACTGTTTGCAATAGCCAGATCTGTGCCAAGTCAAAACCAGGAGCCAGGAACATTATCCTCGTTTCCCATATGGTTGGTATGGGTCCAAGCACTTGGGCCTTCTTCTACTGCCTTCCCAGGCACATTAGCAGGAAGCTGAATTGAAAGAGGAACAGCTGGGACTCAAATCTGTACTCTTACATGAGATGACAGCATTGCAAGTAGCAGCTTAACCTGCTGCAGCACAATATTGACCCAAAACAAGATAGTATTTTTAATCAATTTGGATTAACTAGATTTCTTTTCTATCATGTAATAGAAGTTATGTGGACAAAGTGATCACTGGATGTTTAAATTCTTTTTCTGTGCTTTTATGTATTATAAATTGTTTGATAAACAAATTGTAAAGTGTTGAGATGAATTTCTGATATGTTCTTGACTTGACCTTCAGTTCTTTTAAAAGTTTGTGTTTTGCTTTTATTTTAGGCCAAGACCTTATCTGTTTAAAGGAGATCATAAATTTCCCACAAACAAAGAAAACTTACCAGTGATTATTCTTTATGCAGAAATGGGTACCAGAGCATTTGGTCAGTTTCACAAAGTATTGTCTGAAAAAGCTCAAAATGAGGAAATTCTTTATGTTCTTCGCCATTATATTCAGGTACATACTTGTTTCATGCAAGATTATTTTGGCTATATAAAGAGTTCTTATTATAAGTTGTTTATTAGATTTAAATAATAAATTTCACCAGAAAATTTTAGATTTTTTTTTATCTTAACAAATGTGAATTTTATATGAAAAATAATGGGAATCTGTCTACTCTGTAAGTATCAAGTTTACATTCTTTTATGGTCTACATGGCACAAAATTAAAACTTGGATTAAAAAACAGTAACTAAGAAATACTTCAAATATGTACAGTATTTGTTAGGACTCATAAATATGTTATTTTAAGTAAAAATCTCTCACTGAAGAAACTTGACTTGATATAGTATATTTAGGTCAAAATGCAGGAGTAGTGTATGAATACTTCTAATCCTTTTTCTTTTGAGAGGTGACTACTTTCTCACTTAGACTTCTGATCAAATGTATCCCATTGGTTCCTACTTCCTGTTACTATCACACTCAAACACATTATTTTGTATTAATAATTACATTGTACTTACTGTTGTATCTGTTTATTCAACAATCCTGTTACACATTAGAATACAATGGTTTTTAAAGGAAGGATTTTTTTAATATTCCCAACATGAGAAATGTATTTTGATTGATAGCTCAAAAATTCTTAATAATTTATGCATTAATATTTAATGTAATGAAAGTATTAAAGATACATCTGTAAATTGCCTATTTATTCCTTTACCTACAATATTCACTTTCTCATGGATTTATAGATATTTTTACATATATCCAGAATACTAATCTTTTTTCCATACTTTGAATTTTGAATGTAGTTCTCATCTTCTGATATTTTTGAAAAATATTTTGACATCTTTGAACACAAGCATTAATTGTGTTAATTTTCCAACTTTTCCCTAATGATTTTCTTCATGATGACATAAAAACATTCTCTTATCAGAGCTAGTTTTATTGTTTTTGTTTTGGTCTTTAACCCATCAGAACTTGCTTGAATGTGCTGTGGGTAGAGGTGATTTTTTTATTTTTTTTGCAAATGGAAAATCATTGGTTTCCACATAGTTTGTTGGACAGATCTTTATTTTGCTACATCTTATATCACTTTTTCATATATACATATATATTTTTAGAATCTATACATAATATTTAATAATATACTTTACATAATACATAAAACTGTAGCATTAAAATATGTTTGATATGTGATAGTATAGGTCTGTTTAGTTGTCTGGTTTCTATAGGTGGTGCTTGGGTTAATGAATTTAGGTCTGCTTTTTTTTTTCTAACAGAAGTATTTGTTATGTATTTCCTTCTAAGAACTGCTTTAGTTCTATTCTACAGAAGTCTATATATTACATTTTAGAGTTTATTTCTTTGTTTTTTCTTTTTGAAGTTAATGGATTTATTTTTGTAATGTTTTCCAATCTTTTGTTAAACCGAGAAACTTTTTAGTTAAGGTATACAAACTTCATGCATTTTATATATGCAAATTTAGGAACATAGTGATTCTTCCCACCCTACCCTCCCTTCCACCTGCACTCCCACCCTCTTCCTCCTCCCTCTACTATTCCCATTCTAATTTTTTGACAGGCAGAGTTAGACAGTGAGAGAGAGAGAGAGAGAGAGAGAGAGAAAGAGAAAGGTCTTCCCTCTTTTGGTTCACCCCCCAAATAGCTGCTACAGCCGGTGCGCTGCGCCGATCCGAAGACAGGAGCCAGGTGCCAGGCACTTCCTCCTGGTCTCCCATGCTGGTGCAGGGCCCAAGAACTTGGGCCATCCTCCACTGCCTTCCTATGCCGCAGCAGAGAGCTGGACTGGAAGAGGACCAACCAGGACAGAACCGGCGCCCCAACCTGGACTAGAACCTGGGGTGCCGGCACCACAGGCAGAGGATTAGCCTAGTGAGCCGCGGCGCCAATCCCCATTCTTATTTTTTACTAAGATCTATTTTCAGTTAACTTAATACACATACTACACATACAATTAACCCTACACTAAGTAAAGAGTTCAAAAAATAGTATGAAACAAAAATGCTCCTCAACAGGTGATACCAACATATGGTATTTGTCATTTTGGTACTGACTTATTTCACTAAGTATAATGTTTTCCAGTGGCATCCATTTTGATGCAGATGACAGGATTTCATTTATTTTTAACTGCTGTGTATTATTACATGGTTTATAGAATAATAAATGTTAATTTTTTTTGACAGGCAGAGTGGACAGTGAGAGAGAGAGACAGAGAGAAAGGTCTTCCTTTGCCCTTGGTTCACCCTCCAATGGCCACCGTGGCTGGCGCACTGCGGCCGGCGCACCACGCTGATCCGATGGCAGGAGCCAGGTACTTATCCTGGTCTCCCATGGGGTGCAGGGCCCAAGCACTTGGGCCTTCCTCCACTGCACTCCCTGGCCACAGCAGAGAGCTGGCCTGGAAGAGGGACAACCGGGACAGAATCCGGCGCCCCGACTGGGACTAGAACCCGGTGTGCCAGTGCCACAAGGTGGAGAATTAGCCTAGTGAGCTGTGGCGCCGGCCAATAAATGTTAATTTATTTATCCAGTCTTAAGTTGACAGGCATTTGGGTTGATTCCATGTCTTTGCTATTGTGAATTGAGCTGTGATAAACATGGAGGTACACATAGCTCTTTAATATGCTGATTCCATTTCCCTTCCATAGATTCTCAGGAGTGGGATGGCTAGATCATATGATAGGTCTATATGCAGACCTCTGAGATATCTCCACACTGTCTTCCATAGTGACTTTACCAGTTTACATTCCTACCAACAGTGGATTAGGGTACCCTTTTCCCCACATCCTTGCCAGGATTTGTTGTTTGTTGACTTCTGTATGAAAGCCGTTCTAATGGGGGTGAGGTGAAACCTTATTGTGGTTTTGATCTGCATTTCTTTGATGGTTAGTGATCCTGATATTTTTTCCTGTGTCTGTTGGCCATTTGGATTTCCTCTTGAAAAATGCCTGTCTGAGTCCTTTGCCCATTTCCTAACTGCATTGTTTGTTTTGCTATTGTTGAGTTTCTTCATCTCTATGTATGTTCTGGTTATTGAACCTTTATCAGTTCTATAGTTTGCTAATATTTTCTCCCGTTATGTCTCACTTTGCAGTGCAGAAGCTTTTCAGTTTTAAGTAATCCCATTTGTTGATTTTGGCTTTGATTACCTGGGCCTCTGGGGTCTTTTCCAATGTCTTGTAGGTTTACCCAATGTTATCTAATAATTTGATGGTGTTGAGTCATATATTTAGCTCTTTAGTCCATTTTAAGTGGATTTTGGTGAAAGGTGTCAGGTAAAGGCTTTGCTTCATGCTTCTGCATATGGCAATACAGTTTTTCTAACACCATTTGTTGAAGGGACTGTCCATGCTCCAGGGGTTGATTTTAGCTCCTTTGTCAAAGATAAGTTGGTTCTAGAAGCTTGAATTGAATACAGGTGTTTCTATTCCGTTCCATTGGTCTATCCATCTGTTTTTGTATAGTACCAGCTGATCTGATTATAACTACTTTGTAGTCTGTCTTGAAATCTTGTATTGTGATGCTTCCAGCTTTGTTTTTGTTGTATAAGATTGCTTTAGCTATTTGGGGTCTCCTGTGTTTCCATATGAATTTCAACATCATTTTTTCTAGATTTGAGAAGAATGTCTTTGGTATTTTGATTGGTATCACATTGAATCTATAAATTGCTTTCAGTAGTATGGGCATTTTAATAATTGATTCTTCCAATTCATGAACGTGGAAGAATTTTCCATTTTTTGTGCCTTCTATTTCTTTCTTTAATGTTTTATAATCTTCACTGTAGAAATCTCTGACTTCCTTGGTTAAATTTATTCCAAGTTATTTGAGTTTTCTTGTAGCTGTTGTGAATAGGATTGATCTTAAAAGCTCTTTGTTGGCTATGCTATTGTCTGTATACACAAAGGCTGTTGGTTTTTGTGTGTTTATTTATCCTGCTACATTTCCAAACCATTCTATGAGTTCCAGTAGTCTCTTAGCAGAGTGTATTGGACCCCCTATGTATAGGATTATGTCATCTGCAAATAGGGATGGTTTGAGTTCCTCCTTCCTTATTATACCCCTTTGATTTCTTTTTCTTGTCTAATGGCTCTGACTGGACCTTTAAGGACCATATTGGAAAGCAGTGGTCAGAGTGGGCATCCTTATATGGTTCCGGATCTCAGTGGAATTGCTTCCAGCTTTTCCCCATTCAAAAGTATGCTGGCCATGGTTTTGTAATAAATTGCATTGATTGTGTTGAGAAATGTTTCTTCTATTCCCAATTTGCTTAAAGTTTTCATCATGAAAGGGTGTTGTATTTTGTCAACTATTTTCTCTGCATCTGTTGAGATAATCATGTGGTTTTTGTTCTTCAGTTTGTTAATGTGATGAATCACATTGATGGATTTGCGAATGTTGAATCATCCCTGCATCCCAGGGATAAATCCCATTTGTTCCGGGTGAATGATCTTTCTGCTGTGTTGTTGGATTCAATTGGCTACTATTTTGTTGAGGCTATTTGTATCTGTATTCATCAGAGAGATTGGTCTATAGTTCTCCTTCTCTGCTGTATCTTTTTTCAGCTTTAGGAATTAAGGTGATGCAGGCTTCATAGAAAGAATTTTGGAGGATTCTGTCCCTCTTGATTTTTTTGAGTAGCTTGAGAATAATTGGAGTTCACCCTAAATGTCTAGTAGAATTCAAAAGTGAATCCTTGGCTTTTCTTTGTTGGTAGGGTCTTTATTACTGACTCAATTTCTGTCTTGGTTATTGGTCCCTTTAGATTTTCTGTCTCTTTGTGACTTAATTTAGGTAGGTCATATGTACCCAGGAATCTTTCATTTATTCTAGGTTTCCCAGTTTGTCGGAATATAGCTCTTTGTAGTGGTTTCTGATGGTTCTTTTTATTTCTGTGTTATCTGTTGTTACTTTATCTTTTTCATCACTAATTTTGTTGATTTGGGTCTTCTCTCTCCTTTTTTTGGTTAGTTGGGCTAATGGTGTGTCAATTTTGTTT